TGAAATGTGGCTAGTCCTAATTGTCACATGCTATAAGTGAGAAATAGAGAAGGAAATAATATATTTTCTTAATAAATTTTATTTGATTACATGTTAAAATGATTTTGGATATGCTGTGTTAAATAAATTAAAATTAATTTTACTTGTTTCTCTTTTATAACATGGAAACTAGAAATTTTAAATTGCATATATGGTTTGCCTTTTTGACGTACCTTCTATTTCTTTTAGACAGCACTTTCTAAAATGTTGGTACCTTCAAAAAAAACTCTTTATTTGTAGATGAAGAAGAAACAACGGAAGAAATGATGCAAGAAGAACAAATCGAAGCGTATGTCACATTTTTCAATTTTCTTTGTGGTTCTTATTAAGATTTAATCATTATCCATCTTGTCCAACATTGTCTTTTTCCTTTCCTATATTTTTCCCAGTAATCCATCATACATGTATTGACAGGTTATTTACTTGGAATGTAGCTGTACATACATATGAGTGATTATATCAGTACTAACTGGGAACCGCTTACAAGGCAATTAACAAAGTATCTTAGGGGACATCAGATTACCAAATCTGTAAAGGTACATCTGTATACTGAGCTTGAAAATACTTGTATTTAGAGGAATTTTACTGTTTTCAAAGGTTTACTTTAAAAATGTAATGACTTTCTCTGATGTTACTGAAATTCTACTATTCATGCTCCTTTGTTAGTAAAATTGAAGGCCTGGAAAATGAAATTGAAGAGGCGAAGGTTGCCTTTGAAATGAAAAGTCTTGCACTGGGCAGGTAATTATTACATGTTAAGTATAAGCATTGTGAAAACCACAAACACAAAAAAAAAAAAACAAATCAAATGGTGATCCCCTGTGTTTATGGTAAAATTGCTTTATAGTTGGCCTGCTAACCTCAGGGTCAGCAGTTTGAAACTACTAGCGGTTCCACAGGAGAATGATGAGGCTTTCTGCTCCTATAAAGATTTACAGCCTCAGAAACCCTGTACAGAGTTACTATGAATTGGAACCGACTCCACAGCATACAACAACAACAGAAAGTTTTCCAGTGACTGATCTTTTGGAAATAAATTGTCAGGTACATTCTGAGGTACCTCTTGGTGGAATCGAACCACCTAACCTTTTGGTTACTAGCTGTTGTGAACTGAATTCAAAATGAAAGTGTGGGGAGATGTTAATTAGGTAATTGTCACACAAATTCTGACCCTTGACAGAAAAGCTACATCATTTATTGATACCTTCATTTGAAGAAACTGCAATAAGGTTAGTAAGGAAACTTAAAAAACATGAAAGTGTGATGTTACTTCACATTTGGTGGTTCAAAGAATTATGTAGATTCTTTTATTCTAGTACCTGTTAATCTGGTAAGAGAATTGTCAATAACTTGGATTTTTAACTTGGTTTTTTGTTTGTATCTCTGGTAGCATAGTTATGAGTCAGGCTGATAAACACAAGGTCACCATTTTGAAACTACCAGCTGTTCTTCTGGAGAAAGATGAGGCTTTCTGCTCCTGTAAAGATTTATAGCCTTGGAAACCCTATACAGGGTCAGTATGAGTCAGAACTGACTCCATGGCATGCTACCACCACCAACCACTATGTCCTAAGATTTGTGCTTTGGTATATTGTTAATAAGATAAATATATAGTAGTGGTTGTGTACCACACAGTTCAGTTCCAACTCATAGCAACCCTGTATAGGGTTTCTGAGGCTGTAAATCTTTATGGTAGGTAAAAGCGTCATCTGTTTCCCAAGGAGCAACTGGTGGATTCAAACTGTTGACCTTGCAGTTATCCGTCCAGTACTTAATCAGCTATGCTACCAGGGTTCCTTATGGTCTTTTATAGATTTGTGGCAGCAATAAACTTCTTTCCCTCATCTCATAGTACTGCCTCACGAAATTGATCATATTTTTAATTAAAGTGATCTCACAGCTTATAGGCACTCTCCTTTTAATAATTGACACTCTGTGTGGTCAAAAATAAGTTCTACTATTGCTGAGTTAATTTCCTTTTTGTTATTATTTATTCATTAACTATTTGAATTTTAAAACAATTTATGGGGCTTGTTTGTATGTATACATGTTTTTAAGTTATTAGTTAAGTATGGCTTTGAATTCCTTCTTTCCATTTGCAGGCTGTTGATAAGCTCCAGAGTGTATAATGCTCCCTCCTGCCCCAAAGCAGATGAGTTGGAGAGCAATGCTCAGGCTGGCCTTAAGGCTCCATGCAGCCCCTCAACTGGGCAGTGTACAATGTCTGCCCATTTCAATGTTGTTTCATATTTCTAGGATTTTGATAGTGCTGCAGATTCATCAAAGTATTTTTCATGTAATACTATTAAGAAATCTACTTGTATTTCATTATGTTGAAAGGGTACTAAATCATTCGCTTGTATTTTTAAATTTTTTAATTTTCACAAACATGATCCATATTTTATAATGCAATCTGTTTCCCTCTAAAAGGATACAACTCTCAGCTGCACTTGAAAATAACCTGGAGGATGTTAATACCAAGACTACGTAAGTCATTTTTGCTTAGTCTTTCCTGCATTTAGTAAGGATAGGAATAAGAAGGGAGGCTTGCATAATGGCTGTACTTTTTGTTAATTATTTTTAATTAACTGTCACTGTCAACCACCTTTATGTGAGGGAATTAAAAAAAAAAATTCTTATTGTGAGTTGAGTGAAGATTTACAAGATATACATTATAAAAAATTATACACTTTGTTTCATCTCAATGACTGCAATCCCTTCTTATGTAGTAACAGTTATCCCAGTTCCTCCCTGTGGTTCTTATTTCTATTCTACCCTCCTTCCCAGCCCTTTTCAACTTTGTCCTTAGGTAAATATTGCCCTTTAGATTTTTTTTTTTTTTCTTTTAAGTTTTTATTGTGACTAATGTAATTGTTTACATGGGAAACATTAGCTTTACATTTATCCTATCTTATTTCGTTTCATTGCAATGATTACAATTCCCTGCATGCATCATCAGCAAACCAAAGGGTAAACCCTGCAAGCCTGCCCCCGGCCATCAGCACACAGGCCCTCTCCCTTCCAGAGTCCAGAGTCCCCAGCTGCTCCATCTCTCCACGTCATCTCTCTGCCTCCATCTCTGGCATCACTGCTTCTTTGGATAGGGTCCCGCACTTCACTCTTCTCTCTTGATGGTTCCAGGGTCCTCCTCTTCTGGACTGCAAAATCAGCCACTCCCCTAGAGGAAGATAAAAAACAATTTTTTATAAAGGGAACAAGGGGAAATTGCTACAATTTGATGAACCTGACCTATACTCATGGAGGTAGTAACTCTAAATACCAACAGAGAGGGAAGGAGTTTTCACATCAATTATCAATGCTATCCCCTCTGTACACAGGGTAAATAGGGATGGGCAACTTAGACATTGGCTACCTAAAATGAAGGGGTGATAAAGGCATGAAGTGACTGGCTTATAAGGTTTCAAGAGGGAGTTTAGTTTCAGAGTGTGTTGTGGGGGAAGAAAGCATTCCCACTGAATAGTATTCATATTGTCTAGATGGGTCTAGTGAAAAGAGATGGGGATAAGATTCTTATGATTCAATAGTGAGTAATTGTTATCATGACTGATTGCGACTGTCACGATTGTAAAGGTAGAAGTTTTGTAATAAAAATTGGGGAGCAGTTAATCTTACATCCAGAAACAAAGGACCCTAGGACCATCAAAGGAGACGAGCACAGGCAGAATGTGGGTCCTTATCCAGAGAAGCAGCGATGCCAGAGATGGAGGCAGAGATGGGGACATGGAGAGGGGGAGCGGCTGAGGACTCTAGATTCATGGAAAGAGAGGAACTGAAAGCTGGCGGCCAGAAGGCAGACTTGAAGAATGTTCCCTTTGGAGATATAAATTATGATATATGCCTGAGTGTTTTTAAAAAAAAGCAAAAGTGAATAGTAAGAAACACGTGGAGGGGATTGTAATCATTGTGATGAAACAAGTTGTATGATTGTATGATTTGTTGAATGTAAAACTGATGATCTGCCCTGTAAACTTTCGCTCAATCCACAATAAAAACTTAAAGAAAAATAAAAAAGAGACTAACAACTACATGAAAAGATGCTTACGATCATTATCCACCAGAAAATGTATACCAAAACTACAGTGAGGTATACCTACTATCTTACCACTGCAAAAATGACTCTGATCCAGACAGCAAATGCAGGTGAGGAAGAGAATTTGAAATTCATATCCACTATAGATGCAATTGTTAAAGGTACAACCATTATGGAAGGCAATATGCCACATCCTCAAAAAGTTTGAAATAGAAATACCTTGTGATCTAGCAGTTTCATTCCTAATTATATATCCTAGAGATCTAGCAGCAGTGACACAAATAGACGAATGAACACCTGTATTCATTGCAGCATTATTCGTAATAGTGTAGAGAAGGAAACACCCTAAATATTCATAACAGATGAATGTATACACAAAATCTGGTGCGTACAGTGGAATACTACTCTGCCAGTAGAAATGAAGTCTTAATAAACCCACTGCCATCAAGTTGGTTCTGACTCAGTGAGCTTGTAGGACAGACTAGAACTGCTGATCCATAGGGTTTCCAAAGCTGTAATCTTTACGGAAGCAAATTGCCACATCTTCCTCCTATGGAGTAGCTGTTGAGTTTAAAATTTTGATCCTGTTAACAGCCAAGCACTTAACCACTGCACTACCAAGGCTGCTGTGAAGTCTTGATAAAGCTCGAAGACATGCTGAGTAAAATAAGTCAATCACCAAAGGACAAATATATGATCTCACTGTTATAAAAAGACCAGAAATGGTAAATGTATACAGCTCAAAGTTTATGAGTAATTAGGAGCAGGAGGAAGGGGAAAAGGGTTAACAGTGATGAAGAATTTCATTAAGGGTAAGGCTGCACAGCTGATGAGTGTAATTCAGTTACGTGGTGATTGTTGGTGGTGAGGTGCTGTGGAGTCCGTTCCAACTCATAGCGACCCCGCAAAGGGTTTCTGAGGCTGTCAGTCTTTCCAGAAGCAGAAAGCCTCCTCTTCCTCCCATGGAACAGCTGGTAGTTTTGAACTGCTGACCTTAAAGTTACCAGCTCAGCCTATAACCACTACGCTACCAGAGCTCCTTAGTCAAGTGGTAAACCTATAAAAAGTTGAATAGGCAATAGAAAATTAATTTGCCTTTAATTCCATATGCCCAAAAGTGAAAAGGCCTAAAATATATTAATGTTAAAAATTCATACATACAATGGAATACTATGCAGATATAAAAAATAACATGTTTTTAGAATCTAACATGGATGAATCTGGAGGACATTATACTATGTGAAATATACCAGTCACAAAAAGACATATTGTATGATGTCACTTTCCTAAGAAGAGGAAAATAGGTTTACATACAGAACTCAAGGTTCAGTGGTGGTTACCAGGATGGGTGGGAAGGAAGGAGGGGAAATGGCTCACTAGATAGTTTTTGTTGTTGTGAAGTGCCGATGAGTCCATTCCAACTCTTAGTGGCCCTCTATGGTTGTCAAGGAGCAGCTGGTGGTTTGAACCACTGACCTCGTGGTTAGCAGTCTAGTGCTTATCCTACAGTCGCCATACCAGGACTCTTAGATAGTAGACATTTGTTAATTTTGGTGGTGGCAGAGGCTGTACTGAGTGTGGGTTAAGTGTATGCCACTTGTCCAAAGTCAATGATGACACTAGACTATACACAAGTATAAGAGGTGTTTTGGTGAACGCTATGACAGACAGTTTTGCATTAACAGTAGTATGTGTCTAGTGGTGATAATTGTTAGATGCTGTTACATCTGTTGCAGCTTATAGTGACCCTATGTACAACAGAACCAAACACTCCTGGTCTTGCAGCAACCTCACAGTTGTTCTACATTTGAGTGCATTATTGTAGGGACTGTATCAGTCCTCCTGAACCAAGCATTCTGCCCTATTCCAAAGACTGGTCCCTCTTGATGACATGTCCAAACTACTGGAGGTAAAATCTCACCGTCTTTGCTTCTGAGGGGTATTCTGACGATACTTCTTCCAAGATAGATTTATTCATTCTTCTGGCAGTCCTTGGTATATTTAATATTTACCACCATAATTCTAAGGTATCAATTATTCTTTCACATTCCTTATTATTTGTCCGGCTGTTGCATGCATTTGAGGCAATTGAAAATATCATAGCTTTGGTCATATACACTTTAGTCCTCAAGGTGATATATTTGCTTGGTAACATTTTAAAGAAATGTTGTGCAGAAGATTTGCCCAATGAAATATGTTGTTTGATTTCCTTACTACTGCTTCTATGGGTGTGGATCGCAGATCTAAGTAAAATGAAATCCTTGGCAACTTAGAATTTTTCTCCGTTTATCATGATGTTGCTTATTGGTCCAGATGTAAGTAGTTTGTTTTCTTTATGTTGAGGTGTAATCTATATTGGAGTTCTGGTATGGCGCTATAGGATTCAGCACTGTACTGCCAAGTTGGTTTGAACTGAAGGTTGATGGTTCAAATTCACCAGTCGCTCCTATAGAGGGTTGTCTTGAGTCAGAACTGACTCAACGGTACTTAACAACAACAACAGCAATCCATATTGAAGATTTTAGTCTTTGAGATTCACCAATAAGTTCTTCAAATCCTCTTTATTTTAACCAAGAAGGGTTGTGTCATCTGCATATCACAGGTTGTTAATGAGTCTTCCTTTAGCTTCTTGAATTATTTGCTCAGTTTACAGTTTGAATTAAGTATAGAGAAATGATACAACCCTGACACACACCTTTCCTGATTTTTAGCCACACAGTATACCCTTCCTCTATTCGAACAATGTGTAGGTTCCTCATGAACACAATGAATTATTCTGGGATTTCCATTCTTTGCAATGTTATCCATAACTTGTTATAGTCCACACAGTTGAATGTTTGCTTAGCCAATGAAACACAAGGGAACATCTCCCTGGTATTCTTTGTTTTCAGCCAAGATGTATCTGATATGAATAATGATATCCCTTGTACCATGTCCTAGTCAGAATCTGACTTGAATTTCTGGCATTTCCCCATTAATGTACTGCTGCAACCATTTTCAAATTATCTTTAGCAAAATTTTACTTTTGTGTGTTATTAAAAATATTGTTCAATAACTTCTGCATTCTGTTGGATCACTTTTCTATACAAATATGGATTTCTTTCATTCTGTTGGCAAGACTTCCAAATTTCTTGGCACAGATGATTGAGTGCTCCACTGCTATATTACATTTATTGAAATATTTCAACTGGTATCTCGTCAGTTTCTGGAGTCTTAACTTTTTGCCAATGTTTTTAGTGTACTTTGGACTTATTCCTTCGGTACCATTTATTCTTTTTTTTTTTTTTTAAGGTTTTTATTATTGATTGAGTGAAAGTTTATAGGGCAGATCATCAGTTTTACATTCAACAAATCATACACCTTGTTTCATTACAATGATTATAATCGCCTCCATGTACCACCAGTTAACAATATTTCTCTTTATCCACTTTAGCTT